TATATGTATATGTATATCTTATGTTGTTTTTACTTCCTGTAAAACACTTTACATTACTTTACTGTGTGAAATGTTCTTTCAAATAAAGATGGCCAATAAGAATATTTTTTTGTTGCAGTTTTCAAAAAAATCTAGCAATTCCAAAAGGAATGCATAACTCCTGCCACCTTCCACGTCAGAGTTTTAAACTAAGATGATTACGGTATTGAACACACCAGTGAGTGGAAGTGACTCTCAGCTAACGCATAAGTTTTAGCTCTGCATCTGTAATTTGGACTAATTTGCATCTATTTTTAATAGGTCATTTCTGGAAGCCATGTTGAGCTGGGTTGACTCCAAAAGTTACATATTTGTTGATTTATCTCCAATCTGAGAGTTTACTAAAATCCATCTGTGAGATATTTTGCTAACACACTAACAAGCATCCACAAACATGCAAAAACAGTATTGCCTACTCTTCACTTTTGTGTGGCAGGTGATAAAAATGTCTCTCCAGACTGAACGTTTCACCCACTTGAATTGTTATTCTGCAAGAAAAGAAAGAAGAGGGAAAGAAAAAATACACAAAAAAGGGCAGAATAAAGAAAACATGCCTCGCTCTGTTCTCTGGAAACAGTTTGTCACCCTGCTTCCTTTCACACGAGTCGTGGAAGATAGGTGCCTGACAGTGGAAGTAAAGTAAATGAGAAGCTTCTAGCTCGCTCTCACGGCTTCATTAATGTTCTCGTGGTCATCTGCAGCTTCTTGTTGTCATCACGCACATGAAGATCAAACACTCCCGTGAAGCTCCACTCACCGAGGCTAGCTGTCAGAGCAGGCGAGCAGAGACGTGCGCTAACCTGATTACAAACTGATTTTTTACTTATTATTCAAGACACTATCTGTTTTACTCCAAGCAGGTGAATAATGATCTGCCAGGAGGCTTGGAGAGCTTTTTCCTCTAACAAGACATGGATATTAATTGGGTTTGTTTGAGCATCTCATAAATCTATCTGTAGTTTTGAGTGATGTCCAGGAGAGCATAAAGGCTGGCTGAAGAAGAAAGCCTATCGCTGTTTAAAAGTGATGGGATTGCTGAGCCATAGTTAAAGTGTGTCCTTAAATACAGCAAAGAAGAAAGAAAGTGGAATCAATAGTTGCTGAAAAATGCATCCTGTGAGTTCCTTCCTCCGTGACTTGCCTCAACACGCTGCAGCTGAGGTGAGGAGACAGTCATAGATTATTAATCCTCTTTTTCATCTCAGCTGTAAATGTTAAAAATGGTGAATATTGACTGAGTGGACACAGGTTTGGAGAGCTGAATATGTCTCTTGAGTGTTGGATCACACAAACTATATATAAAAAAATCATATAAAGCCTAAGATGTCATGATGTGAAGAATGTTTTTTTTAATTTAAACTTTCTTTCATGCACCTTTTGGACTAGCTATAGAATTTTTTCAGCAACTTTAATCAGTCATTTACCAAAATGTTCAGCTCGATCGGGTCATTAAGGCTTTGACATTTGGTTTTAACTTTAAAACCTTTAATCTTCTTCTGGCTGCTCTCTTCTTCAGGGGTCGCCACAGTGAACTAAGTCACACGAAGACTTGGCAATTATTTTTACACCGGATGCCCTTCCTGACGCAGCCACAGAGCACCGAGCTACCACAGCTCTCTGTGTGGAGCAGAGAGCTGCTATCTAGGGTGCCCACTGGAGCAGATGGTGGGGGTTAAGGGCCTTGCTCAAGGGCCCAGAGTGGGGCAAATGAGGACAGAGGCAGGCGTGGGTGCTTCATCTTTCCCGCCCACATTTTGATGTTGTCGGTACTGGGGGTTGATCCAGCGATCTTCTGATCACATGCTCACCTTCTCTAACCTCTGTGCCACCATTCTCAACTTTAATAAATTTAATGCTCTTTGAAATATTTAACTTTACTGACAATTTTATTCCTCCTTTTAAATGAATGGAGAACTTTTCAAATACTTGAAATGTAGTTCTTTCAGATCTACTTTAGCACAGTTGCTTCACTTTTAGCTTCAAGCTACTGCTCTGCTAGTTTTAGCTTTCAGCTTCTAATTTGCTCATTTGGATTTTAACTACAGTTCTGCTAGTTTACACTTTTAACTACTGATATACTATTTTAGCTACTGTTCAGCTAGTTTAAGCTTTCAGCTTCTAATTTGCTAATTTAGCTTTTAGGCACTGTTCTGTTTCTTTTAGCTAATGTCTTGTAATTTAGCTTTCAGCTGCCATTAGTTTTAGTTTATTTTTCTGGTCTAAGTTTATTTTGCTATTGTTTAGCTAATAATAACTTTTAGCTACTTTATTATAAAATTTACTATTTAGCTACTTTTCTGCTGAATTAATTTTTTTGGTACTGGTATCTTTCAGCACTTGCTTTTAGCTACTGTCACACTAGTTTTGATCTTTTAGTTACTTTTTGGTTAGTTTAAGATTTTAGCTATTGTTTTTAGCTACTGTCTTGCTAGTTTTAACTTCTAGCTAGACAGTAGCTAATCTTAGCTTTTATGTGTATTTTTTCAAATTTTTAGGTTTCAACTTTAACACATTGTTCAAAACTCATCATTCACTGCATAATAACAGAAAATTATTCAATGATTTAATTATAGAGAAAAATTAAATATAGAAAGATAGAAGCTAAAAACAATAGCTAAAATCTTAAACTAACCAAAAAGT